GGCCAACTCTTGATTTCAGCTCAGGTCATGATCTCAGGGTCGTGGGATCAAACCCTGCGTCAGGCTACGGGCACAGTGCAAAGACTGCTTGAGATGTTCTCTCTCCCTCAGGCCACTACCCCCCCTAAAAAAGATAAATAAATCTTTAAAAAAAAATTTTTTAAAAACCCACATTCTCTCATAAGCCCAAACCTTAGAGACACGATGTTTCCCTTCGGCTGCTCCCCTTTCCAGCCCTGCACATGTGCGTTATGCTTGCTCAGTTATATTAACAGTGCGTATACAACAGGATCCTCTGCTGAACTGTCCTTGTTGTTTAAAAATAGTATCAGTGGCATTACGAGAGCATCTCCCTCATCGTCCTGTTAACGGACGACAGACCCCGCCAAGGCATCGCTGCACGTGGGCCCAAGGTCCTGCGGCTGGCAGCTATGGGAGCCACGAACGCAGCACGGGGCCTATTTTGTTCTTGTGAACTGGGTCCCTCAGGGAAATGTACAGCTAGAGTATGAATGCGGGTTGTATTTTTCACAAATGCAGCAGGACGAGTTTCCAAAAACGCTGGCGCCAATTTAAAGAGAACACAACGAGGGTGCAAGAACCAGACCAGCATGCTCTGGTTCCACCTGCATTTGCGCTCACCGACCACCGGGCCGCAGCGTGGTGGAGTCTGGGGGCTCGCTGACCGGACCAAGGCCTCCGGACCCCGCATGAGCAGCCGCAGGGCAGCCTGATGTAGGGAACACTTGGCGGTTCTCACTCTCACCTTGTGCTGCGGTCATTAGGCTCCCATCTAAACCACTGGTCCCCACTGGCAACTATGCTGCAGCTAAGCTTTTCAGGACAAAAAGGGGCAGCACAGCATTGTGGTCACCAACACAAGCTTTAGGATCAGACAGACGTGAGTTCACACTCCCAGCTCCGCCACCTGGCCCTTGACATGCTCACCTACAGCTGCAAGCACAGTTTATGCTGCAATAACCTAAGGGACCACAAGGACTCGGCTGTCACATGCTCTTTTGCTCTGTTCCCTTTCCTCGTTCTCATTTTCTGAACTACAGATTGATGGCTGGAGCTCCAGCAGCCGTCTTGGGCCATGAGATCAACTTAAGAATGAAGGCTTATGCAAAGACAGGAGAACAACAACAACAAAAAAAGCAGTGATAGTTAACAGTCTGGGATATTAACAGACTTGTGGAACTGCCATACCAGCCCCAAATGGCCCACCTCTATATTTCTACCATGAGAGAGAAAGACAGATGTCTATCCTGTTTAAGGTGCTGTTATTCACATCTCCACTTTCTGCATGGGGCTTAGGACCTAAAGAATTTCATAAAACTCTCTCAATTTTAACAATATTATTATTGCTATAAGTTATCATTGTTATTATAAATCATTATAGCTTTCCCCTTCCCTTTGATAGGTATTTAAAACTGACAAAAACAAATTCAACCCTCTTCCAGCAAATCCCCAACAGCTCCACGCTGGGGAAATGTTAAGATGAAGTGAGCCCTTAGCTCACATGGAAGTAGTGTACACAGCAGGCCCCCTCCTGCACCCTGAGACCCCACTTCTCACCTGGACGAAGAAGTAGATGAGGCCAAGCGGCGGGATGATGATGGCGGCAATGGGAGTGGCCAGCAGGATGATGATGCAGGCGCCCATGACATTGAACAGGGAGCCCATGAACATCTTGATGACCTGCGGGATCATCGAGTCCACCGTGTCCAGCTCCTTAGAGAAGCGGTTCACCAGGTTCCCGCTGGGGGTCCGCTCGAAGAAGCTCATGGGTGACCGGAGGACGTTCTGTAGCAGGTCCAGGTGCAGGCGGCGGGAAGCCAAGATCCCCCCGATGGACACCGCCATGGAGTAGCCGAACACGGAGATACCTACAAACACTCTCATGGTCAACACCATGATGGGACACGGGCCAAGCTGGGGGTGGGGAGAAGCGGCCATGCGGATGCAACAGGCCTGGACTCTCAGCTTCTAAGAATGACGATGAGGACAAGCAGGAGGAGGGGGACAGTAGTGGCTACTATTTACTGAGGACTCACTATTTATTAGACACTATGTAGGAGCTTGACACGAATCTACTTCTCACACTGACTCTGTATCATTCCTCTTAGCACCCATTTTACAGAGAAGGACACTCAAGGTCAGACAGGTGAACTCCTTTGCCCTCAACAGAATCAGCCAATCAGAAGCAAAGCTGCGGTTTCCGATCCAGGCAGCCTGCTCCGAGGTCATGCTCTTAATCCATGTACCGCACTCCTCTAGACCAGTGCCATGTGACAGAACTTTCTGTGATGACGCCCATGTTCTGTATCTATGCAGTCCCGTGTGGTAGCCTCTAGGCATGTGGGGCTACTGAGCACCTAAAAGGTGGCTAGTGGCTACCAGAGCGGACAGCTCAGCTCCTAGAACAGATGCTGCTGCCGTGTGAGCCCAGGTAAACATCGCACCCTCCCTGTGCCCCACCTTCCCTCAGTGATCATGAGGAGGCCAGCCCTTTGCCCTGGGAGGGGGGGTGGGGCGGTGTTAGGGATTAAGAAATCAAAAAAAATCCCTGTCTGCTCTTCTGGTTTTCTTTCAAAGCTCTCTCCTGGAGATCATGAGACATCTGCGGCTCCTCCACGCAGCCCAGAGCAGGGCACCCGTTCTTCGCAGACAGATTTCATAGGGAGGGGCGGGCTTCCTCAAGGAAGCGAGGGCTAAAACGACGGACTCTGAAGCCAACAGTGCCAAATCCTGTGTCACCTCCCAGCTGTGGGCCCTTCCCACAAGTCACTCAGCCTCTCTGCACCCCAGTTTATCTGTGAGATGGGGACAATGACACTTAGCTTGCAGCACTGTCGGATGTAAAAGGCCATGTGCTTAGCGTATAGAAAGTAGTAAAAAATATACAGAGGTTTATTGTCTATACATACACATCGCAGACACTGAACGTACATATATACGTAGAGACGCTCACTGTTTTCATGAGCACCTGAACACACAGCTCATGCACTGTGCAGCACACTGACTAAGAGCACGGGCTCCCGGGCCAGAATGCCTCATCCGATGACGGCTCTGCCATGTACTTGCTGTGTGGCTTTGGGCAACTTACTTAACTTCTCTGGGCCTGAGAGTCTCTGTTTCTAAAATGGGGAAAACAGTAGCTGCCACCTCTTGGCCCTGTGCTGCAAAAACACACAGAAGGGTTTAGAAGCTAACCAGGCACCAAGGAAGGGCTCAGCGGACATCGGCTCTTACTATTAATGCTCTTGTGTTTGGGGACCTTCATGGGCCCACAGGAAGGGTAAACAGGGTTTCTCAACCTCCTCACTGCTGACATTTGAGGCTAGATCATTCTCTGTTGTGGGGGCTGTGCTGTGCGCTGCAGGACGTCCGGCAACATCCCTGGCCTCTGCATGCCCCTAACACTACCCCCTCTCTAAAGCTGTGATGGCTCCAAGTACCTCCAGACGTGGCGAAATGTCCCCCGGGGGACAGCAGAGTCTGCACCGAGAACCACCAGCATAAACCAATTCCCATCCTCAGACAGCAGGTAGGAGTCCACAAATGAGACTTTACAGGAGCCCCATCACCTTCACTGAGCAACAAGGGGCAAGGGCCCTTGCTCACCAATGCTCCGGGGGGGGTGGGGGTGCGTGTGCTGCCATCCCTCAACTTTGCTCATCTGTAAAATGGGCATGTTAAGAGCTTCTCTCCATCTCCTAGGGCCCCATTAAACAAAGCATTCAAGAAATATTCACTCTACAAGTATCTGAGTGTCTACTAAGGGGTAGGTACTATTCATGTGAGTTTGGCTTAGTTTGGGGGTCCACAAAGCCCTGACAAATGGAGGGACTCGACTCCATAGTAAGACATGGAAGAAGCAGTTTCAAGTGCCCAGATCGGGTGGGCAGGGGAGGGTGGGAAGGGGAGGGCCCCCACCTTGCGAAATGCCCAGGGCTCCATAGACGCTCAGCCGGACTTTAGTGTGTTCCTGGGTCCCGTTGACGATGGGGTCATCAGTCCAGAGGCTGAGCCAGTAGTTAGAGGCCAGAGCAGCAATGTGGTTACACAGGAAAAGGAAGATGCTCAGAAAGGAGATGAAAAGTCCGATCGCCTTCATGTAGTCCCAGTACACGGACAGCTTGACCTGCAGACCAGGGGAGAGAAGGCCCTTTGCAGGCTGCCCCCACCACCACCAGCCGAGGCCAGGCACTCCAGCAGCAGCTGGGCCATCCTGTCCCCCACCACCTATGCTCATACTCATGGCACATTCCCCTTAGTTATTTGACCGACAAAGTCAGCGGGAGAGAAAGTCAAGGTCTGTGCCCTCATGGAGCTTCCAGTCAAGTGGCAAGACAGGCTTTCAGTGCCCAGGTCAATGTGTAATTATAGAGAAGGGCTGGAGCAGTGCAGAATTCCACGAGAGTATAAAAGTGGGCAGCCTGACCTACCGGAGAGGTTTTCCCTGAGGAAGGGACAACAAAGAGTTAATTAACCAGGTGAATTGGAAAAAAGGCACTCAGGGCAGAGGGAGCAGCATGTGCAAGGGCCCTGGGGTAGGAGGGAATGCATCATGTGGCAGGAAATGAAAGGAGGCAAAGGTGGTTGGAACAAGATTGAGCTGGAGAAGCAGTAGTGGTCGGACCACACAGGGGCTGGAAGAGCCTGTTTAGGATTCTGAGCTTTAGTCCAGGACCGTTAGGAAGCCATCAAAGAGCAAACGGGATGGAGTGACACGTTGCCAAGCACCCCAGTGTTGCCTCCCCCCATTTCCTCTGAACAGCAAACACCAATTCTGCATCATTTCCACTGGCTTCCCATTGGCTGGTGCCCGCTTAACCTGCTCCCCAGCTCCACAGGGCGACAGGACTTCTTCTGCCCCCATATTCCCTGCAGAGCCCCATGAAGGCTAAATGATGATGCATAGTCATCCAAAGGGTGGCCTGATCTCAACACCAGGGGCCAAGGCCACCTGCTTTGGGCCAGCCCTATGCCCCACCTGCCTGGCTTGGCTTCAGCCAACGCCAGGTATCCTTCCTTGTGTGTGCGCTCGCTGGCATTTCAAGCTTCTCACGCTGAATTTTGGGTCATAAAAACCATTTGTCTGAATTACAGCCTGGTTGAAAGGTAACAGGTGAAAGGCCAGAGGTCTCCTGTATAACTGAGTGTTTCTTTCTGACTTTTCTCTGTATTTCAAACTAAAATAGTGGGGGGCAGGGGAGTGTCCCAGAATTACGATGTTTACTGTCACCATTTGGCTTCGTCACAAAGCCAAGCAGCCCGCTGATCTGCAGATCCCGGAATTATACTGCAGGACTCGGGGGCTCCTCATAAGCAGCAAACATGGTGGGTGTGGGATTCCGAAATTTGTGTGTGTGCTGCACCCAGCGCCACTCCTGGTCCAACTCTGGCAAGTTACAAGCCCCCCAGTCTGCGTTCCTGCTATTGAAAAGGCAGGTAACACTGGGACCCATCTCCTCTGGGCGGTGTGGGATTACATGAGGACTAACCAGGGCTGACATTGCTTCTCTGGTCCTTGATCTGCGGTCCTGACTCTGGCTCTGCCAAGGACCAGCGAGAGCAAGGAGGGAGGATGCACTAAGGCACTTCGCCCCTGGCCACGGCTGTGAGGGGAAGAGGAGAGAAGCAGCCTGGAGCAGAGGGTTCCGGGAGGTTCTGGATGCATCCAGCTAGATCCAAGAGAACAGCGTCCCGAACTCTCGTTCCTGCACCACCTCTCACGGGTGGCTTGTTCATGTGTGCACTTATTCTTCTTTTAAAAATTCCATTCCCTATTTTTTTAAAAACATACCACATGTATTTTTAAAAATAAACTTTGAATCATTACCATAAACGGAAAATTACTGACACGTGCCCAAAATAGAGGATTGTAAAACACATACAACCAACCAAGACCTTGAAACCGATTCTCCCTGTGACAGAGAGAAGCTGGAGATTGTGAGAGCTACGGACTTGAACGCTGTGTCCCTCCAAGTTCGCCCATTGAAATCCTCACCTCCAGTGCAATGGTACACAGAGGAGGGACCTTTGGGAAGCGATCAGATCGTGAGGATGGATCCCTCACGACGGGATTAGTGCCCTTAACAAAGGGGCTCCGGAGAGATCCCTCACCCCCTCCCGACAGGGAGGACACAGGGACCAGACGATGGCGTCGGAGCCTCCCTCTGGGCAAGCCCTCACTAGACGCCACACGAGGGGCTGGCACCGTGATCTCGGACTTGCCAGCCTCCAGGAAGTGTGGGCAATAATAGCAGCTTGCTTCTGAGTCACCCGGCCCGTGGCCTTCTGTTAGAGCAGCCCCAACGGCCTGAGACACGCATGACAGATAAACATGCACCGAGCTCAGACTTTTTGTCGCGATGGAATCATTAGGACTAAAAGAGAAATGGAAAGAAATGAACCCCACCACACACACACACACACACACACAAACACACACACACACGGTCACACGAGGGGAAGTGACAGAGGTGTTATCTTGTAGACCTCATCTGATCTACAACTTCCCATGCAGTGGAAAGGTGTGATTTAAAGCACCTGGGTCACCCACAGCCAACAAAAGCCCCCAGCCGCGCAGAGGAGGTGGCGCTCGGTACAGCCGAGGCTCCAAACACCAGCCCTGGAGTCTAACGGCCCGGGTTCCAATCCTAACTCTGCCGCCCCCTGGCGGCAACCTCGGGCAAGTCACCTAGGCTCTGCCACCCGTTTCCGGTGCTGGAAAACAGCACTGGTAGAGGCCCGTGGAAAGACTCGGTTTAACATCAACGAAGCGTTCTGCACAGGACCCGGCCCACAGCGACGCGCAGTGATGCCGGCCACGGCCCTCACTGGGGCAGCCGGCCCTCACCTGCCCTGTTTGCGCCTTGTCCGCCTCCACCAGCTTCCACGCGTCCTCGTTCTTGGCCCCAGCTTTCTGCAGCTCGGCCGTGCTGGTGCGGTGGCGGCTAACGTCCCCGCCGTAGGAGGAGGAGTTGCTGAGCTGTCTGGGGAAACCAAGGCACACGGTGTCAACCAAACAGAAGCCTGACCACAACTATGCGCCAAACTAGCTCAATCTTCCGATTTTATAGTTGTGACACGCGAGGGGATCCGTGACACACGGCCCCACGGAGGAACCGTTCCTTCATGCAGGCGTGATTCAGAAAGCACCTCTTGCGCCTGCCAGTGGTGGTCATCAGCTTTTTTTTTTTTTTTAAGATTTTATTTATTTGACAGGGAGAGACACAGCAAGAGAGGGAACACAAACAGAGAGTGTGGGAGAGGGAGAAGCAGGCTTCCTGCCGAGCAGGGAGCCCAATGTGGGGCTCGATCCCAGGACCCCAGGACCGTGACCTGAGCTGAAGGCAGACGCTTAACGACTGAGCACCCAGGCGCCCCAGTGGTCATCAGCTTTATGAGGACCACGACACATTATCGCAGATCATGTGGCCCCAAGCTCTCTTTGGAGACTTCTTCGACGTAGTCCCTTCCCCTGGAGACTTGTAACCCTGGAGAATGACACAGGTGGATGGGTGTGTGTGCGTGTGTGTGTGTGCACACAGTGTGGACCTATGTGCAGGAATACCCTCTCTGAGCCATGGCTCAGACTCACAAGGGCAAAGGGATGGAGTGTGACTTCCACCCTGCTTGCTGACGCTCCCTACTGCCTTCGTGGTTTGCATGCATCGAGGAAGCAAGCATGCAGGCTGAAGGCCCAGGATGCTGGCAACGGAGGGCTCCAGTTAGAAACTGAGGATGGTAATACAGCCCCAGAGGAGCAGAATCCTGCCAACAGCCATGTGAACTTCGAAGTGGATCCTTCCCCACCCCAGTCTTCAGATGAGACCCCAGCCTGATGGACACCTGTTGCGGCTTGTGTGAGATCTGGAGCAGAGAAGCCAGCTAAGCCGTGCCCAGACTTCGCAAGCCACAAACTTGGAGGTCATCTGTTGCATGGCGACAGATACGCCCAGTGTTCCCTATGCTTCTGCTCAGTCCACGCATGGTTCTCCCCGGCAAGCCTCCCACCGTCACCTACCCCTAGGTCCCAGGACCACCTGCAGGTGCTGCCTCGTCTCGGCTGTCCCAGCAAATTCTCAGAGGGCAGCAACCATGACTGACCACACTGGCCTGCCTGAACCCCTGCACACCCTGGGCGAGGCCCTATTCTAAGTGATTTACACACATACACCTAGCTCACCACCTCGACAGGTGCACCAACAGAGCAGGAAATATTTCTACCTGTCCCATACGATAAAAATCAGAGTCAGGGCGCCTGGGTGGCTCAGTCGGTTAAGCGTCTGATTCTTGGTTTCAGCTCAGGTCATGATCTCAGGGTGGTGAGACTGAGCCCCATGGTGGGCTCCACGCTGAGTGCAGCAGAGTCTGCTTGAGATTCTCGCTCTCCCCCTGCCCTCCCCCCACGCGCTCTCTCTCAAATAAATAAAATCTTAAAAAAAAATCAGAGTCTAGGAGGATACCATGGGCAGTGTTCTAAAGGGCAGAGCTGCTCATGCCAATTTCGTTCCCAGCCTCATTTCTCTGAGATCTCCCTATGCCAGAGAAGTAACTGCAGGCAGCCCCAGCTCATGAATAAATGAGTGCTCTTTACTGGGTGTTGATGGAGGAAAGTACTGTGCTAAGTGCTTTACACGCACTACGTGGGGTCTGTCCCACTACAGCCCTCTGCGGTAGGCACACCATAGATCCTATCTGACAGGTAAGGAAACTGAGGCACAGAGAGGTTAAGCAACAATGTCCACGGAATGCTGCTCCTCTAAATCCCAAACGATCCAGCCGAAAGCAACCTCCTTTAAAGCAGCAAAAGCACAGAACTTTGGACTGCTGGCTCAGCGGCAAGGGCCTGGGTTCAAGTCCAAGCTCAGTTTCTGTCTGGCTGCATGACTTAGGGAGAGCACTCCGTTTGCTAACCTGTAAAATGGGAAGACAGGAGTAACCACCTCCAGGTTCAACACACTGCACAGGGCTTGCCACTGTGCCTGGCTCTGGAGGGTGCATCAAACATCGAGGTCACTATTACTGTGACTATTTTGGTTCAAATGCCGGCCCTTAAGACCTGAACACTGCAGGTTCCTCCGAATAACTTGAGCAAAGACCCACATCCTGCAGGGAACTTGAGCGTCACCACGTGCAGGCGGATGGTTACATCCTGAGGCCTGTGTGAGTTATGCCCCCTGGTAGAGCAGTGTGGCCCCCACCCCTCTTCAGGCCCCTGAAACATGAGCTCTCCTAGCAATTTGGGAAAGGAGGCAGAAAGTCCCCATCTTCCGTGACCCTGGGGAGCAGCTCATGTGACCTTGTTCCTCTTCTCTCCCCCCAGACAGGGGGCAGAAACAGGGTACCTGGAGAGTCCACACGAACGGGGCTCCCTCTCTGCTCATACCTCTGCAGCTGCTTCCCCGCGACATCAGTCACCAGCATGCCATTCTCCATCTGCTTCACCTCCTTCCCTGGGCTGCTGACACTTATTAACCCTGGCACAAGAGAGGAAAGGGGGAAGTTGTGGTTTCCAGAGCTGGATGCCAAGATCAAAGACATTTAGGAAAACCGGTCACTTGGACGGGACATGGCGGATAACCTGGCCACCAGGAAGCTCAGAAAACTAGACGTGCTTGGCTGAGGCCACAGACAGGTTCCCGGCACAGGGGCAGGTCTGTGGAGACAGCTGACTCCCTTGGGACAGAGGTGCATGAAACTTAGTCCAAGGGGCCAAGATGCAAGGAGCCAGGTGGGGAACAGCGCACAGCCCTCTGGTCCCCAAGCATCCCAAGCAAGGGTGCTACTCAAAATAAGTAACAACCAGTTTTGACAAGGGCATCAGCCAACAGGAGGAGTCCCCGAGGGCGCCCCGCCCCCACCTCCCAGTGCCAAGAGTTAACCCGGACCTCCGGGAGGTCCAGAGGTCTGGGGCAGGGGGTACCCGGAGCACTGCCATTTCCCCCAAACAACTGGTACAGCCACCCCGAGGCACACTAGCCAGCCGGCTGCCCCAGTCCCAGGAATTACGCCCCCGGCATCAACACTAATCACCATAACCTCAATGACAGAATGACATGACATAACCTCAACGGCTAACATTTATTGAATGAGTGGTGGCCCCGTGCCGTGTGGAAATACATCATCCCCCTTCATTTGCCCGACTACTCAGTGATGCGTTATCATTCCCCGGCCCTGATCTCATGCTGGCGCCAGGAGAGCGAGCGAGCCTGCAGGAGAGACGCACGGCAGAGGGCTCCCCTGGGGCTGGCCCAGAAGAGGATGGGAGGGTGTGCAGGGGAGATGTTCCACAAGGGGACTAATATGCAGCTCTGGCGGTGACAGGGTGACCCTGGGAACACGCTGATAGAATGCGAACTGAAACCAAATGGCTCTTTCGGACCATGACAGTCACAGCGAGAAACGGAAAACAGAAGAGCAGGGCGGGGAATCATTCTGCGGTTGGGGGGCGGGGGAGCTCTGAGCTGGTTGATTCTCCATCTTGGCTGTGAACGATGCACGCACCCGGGGATGCCCCTGGCCCAGCTCTGGTCCCTGCAAGGACTCTGCCTGTAGGGAGGTCAGGCCCCCATGCTGAGTCAGAGCGCAGTCTGGAATGGAGTGTTCTCTCACTTCCTAGCTGTGTGTACTAGGGAAGCAATAAGCGGCTCTGAGCCTCAACTCTCACAGCTGCAAAGGGCGAATGACCACTGCCGCCCCCTTCCTAAGTGGAAGAATGAGTGAGGCCACGCGTGGTGCTTGGGAAGTGACAGACCGTGGTGGTGCTTAGCTGGTACTCGCCTTTTTAAACATGTTCTACGGATAATTCTGGGGTGCAGCCAAGATGGAGAATCACTGCTTTACACATTTCTTTTAATGGCAGCATCTTTTTTTACTTAAAAAAAAAACCTAAACTAAATTAAAAAAAAGAATGATAACAAGCAGGACGTTCCATGCAGGTGCATGCAGTCAGGGCTCATAAACGCACACAGCACTGGAGGCCCAGGCCTGGCCTTGACCAACTCCCTCTTTGCCGGGACAGGCATGCTTGAAAACATTCCCAGAGACACGGCCCTGTGGCAGGGGCATCAGTCAGCTCCTCGCTCCCGCCTGGCTATGCAGGCCAGCCTCAGTAAGCTTCAGGCTTCCCTTCTGCTCCCCACTCAGGATGAGACCTCACAGTGGCCTCCCGTGGCCCCCTTCTCCACCAATCAGCCCACAGGTTGATACACCGGCGGGGCCAGCTGGAAAATTCTCCTCTGCAAGGGGAGGGACCAAGAGTCCTAGAAGGCAATAGGAACATGGGTTGGTCCACCACTCCATCTGCCTCCTTTGCAAGGGGTCAGCTCTTCCCTCTTCCTACAGTCTTGGCAGACCATGGGCGGGAGGTGGGGGGACGGGGGAGGGGGGCTGCCCAAGGTCAGCCAATCAAAACCCCTTCCCCAAGACTGTGAACCATCAGTGGCCCCCTGAGGACCAAAGACAGTTCCGGCGATCCATCCTAAAGGAGTCTGATTCCCGGAGTTCCCATTTCCTGAGTCCTGATTACTTGGTCTGGCCTCTGATTTCTGAGTGATCTGCTTCTCCTTCCAGTAAACACCCTTGTTGAAGTGGCAGGAGTCGGCTTCCATGGCTTACAAAAGAGCCCTTTGTCTGGACCCTCGGCCACACTGCTTAAGGAAGGCAGGAGGGAGGGATGGGTCCAGTCCAGCGGCTGATTCATGCCTTTACCTCACCAGAGGGAACCAGGGCAGCCTTCCACGGTGAAACTCTGTTAAAAGACATCCCCCCCAACCGGGCGCCCACAGCCACCTGCAGTGACTCTGTCAGGTGCACATCACCCTGTACTGCCTTGGCCTGCCTACGTCCTGACCATGCCCAGGAGGTGAGGGTGGGATCGTGACAGTCAAACCGTGGGCCATTCATTGTCCACCAACTACGTGCCAAGCATGCTGCAAACAGGATCTCCTCCAAGGCATGCTCATTGTGGTCATTTGACCTACACAACAGTCAAGCTTAGCCCAGGCCACCCAGCTGAGGAACAAGAGATCTGGGGATTCAGACTATCTCCCCAAGTGCCCACCGCAAAGCCTGGCACCTAGTAGGTCCCCAAAAAATGTTCGCTGGATGAACAACGGAAGGGGGTAGAAATAGAGACGGTGGAGGGCCTCTTTCTGAGCATGCAGCAACAGGCCCAGTCCGTCTACAGCCTCCCCCTGCAAGCACAGCTACTTCTAACCCACGTGTCACTGACCTTCCCCCTCCTCGTCCACCATTTTGCCACCTGAGAATTCACAAGATCCAGGAAAGTGTTAAGAACCAAGGCAACACTCCCTCCCAGAACCCCCAGTTAAATGCCCAGAGCGGATGGATGGAGGTCCTCTCCTAAGGATGAGTGGCAGAGACGGCGAAGGGACCTGCTGCACCTGTATCTCAGTATCCCCATCCCACGCGTGCTGGGTAGATCCTGACAAGCACACCGCATGGGGCCAGCTCTTTTGCTAAAGCTTATAAACGTGTTTAAACATAAGAAGATCTAGAAAAATGCAGGCCAACCCTCTGTCCCTACACCTGTTTTCATGGCAGCAGAGGGAAAAAAGTCAAGTGTTACAGCCGGGCAGGGCAGGCGTGGCTGGGAGACAGCACAGACCTCGGCTCCAGGCCGCAGCCTTCAGCTCCTGAGGACAGATGCTGCTCATGAGAGGGGCCTGGGCCACACGCAGCCTTACTCTGAGCCAGACGCACATGGAGCCAAGAAAAAGGGAAGAGAAGGTGACCTGGCTCAGATTTCATCTTGGCCCCTCCCAGGCGGGGATGAGGACGCCTTCTTGGGGTTCTCACAGGCCCCCAGGCTCGCTTCCATCACTGCATCTAGCACCACCACACCCTTGATTATTTGGCATTTGTCTTCCCAAACAGAGGGGAGACACGCTGAAGACTGTGAGCTCTTGAGAACACAGAGTAGGTCTTACCCACTACTCTCTTCTCAGCACCTGGCACATCAGCACCAACCACATCATGTGTGGTTGCACAGGACATGCACTGTACGACCCAAGGGCAACCATTCCCCATAGTGGCTCAAGTACCAGGTGTCCCCAAGGCACCCAGTAGGCGCTCTGCATACACCTGATACGCAGATGGAGAGATTAATAGGCGAACGGCCGAGTGAACAACCACAGCTGACCTTCCAATGCCGGAACAGGCACCCCAGGGGCCACCAAGATGCCATCTCAGAAGCCCATACCCACAGAGCCGGTTTCTAAACCAGCCCTGGAGAAATGGGTAAAATCAGCGCCTATTTTCTTCTAATCTGGGATATTTGGACAGCTGTGTTAATGTCCAAAGCTTACATGGAACATGTCTTAAATAATCAAGGCATAATGTACTTATTTGCTTATTATAACAGATTACACTGAGCGTCTACTATGTTGCCAGGCACTCTTTCCAGCCCTGGGGATACATAAGTGACCCAAAAGCCCTCATGGAGCTTAAATTACAAGGGAGAGAGAGAGAACACACAAAAGGACTAGATCCAGAATTAGCCGTCAGGCAATGTTTAGAGCTACAAAGAAAACTAAAGCAGAGGAAGGGGAAAATGAAGGGAGCTGGGGCTGAGGGATGCTAGAGAACAGTTAAGAATTTTTTTTTTTTTTTTGGTAAGCAAAGGCCCGAAACTTGTAATCTAATAAACGTTTCCCAAGTGCCTCTAGGTAGCAGGTATGGGGCTGTCGGGCTGACAAGCCTGGCACCGTCCCTGCTCTTGAACCTCTTCAGTACCACTCCCAGGAGTGGCCCTCAAAGCCACTCAGAGCTCGCTGTTTATTCTCAAGAAGGTTCTGGAACTCTGCTTGGGCACGGGCCAGCAGGCCAGCTTCCCTCGAGGGAAGAATCCAAGTTACTCCTTTATAGTCAACGCTTCGTTTTTGACCAAAAACGGAAGTGACCAGCTGCATCACCCAGCCTGATCCACCCGCCTAGGACCAGAAAGTTCTCCATATTCAAGTGGAAGAAATACGGCCCCTGAAGACAGCCTAAAGGAATGTGCTGTGTGTACGACGGACCCTCCAGCAGCTGTTCAGTGTTTGTGACAGATTTTTGTAATAGGGGGAGGTGCTTATGACCGACCCACTGGTCAGAAAAGCAAGCAAGCAGCATTGATGGCTGAGAGCGCAGTAGGATGCTACTCCTCTCAGGAGGAAGGCCAAGGAGAGACAGACACAGACAGCCCCTCTGGCGGGGGGCCAGTGGACAGACATTCTTTTTCCTGGTTCTCTGCGTTGTTATGCAACTTTCCAGCGGTCTAAAATGAGCACATGCTGATTTTATGATCGGTTTAAAAAAAAAAAAAGAAAAAGAAAACCTTTCAAGCAAAGATCTCAAAGATGGAGAAAATCAGTCATGAGGTTGAGAGATGAGCTGAGCACGGGTCTGAGAAGCGGGCATATTGTTGGAATAACAGTCTTTCTCCTAAGACCACAGGGAAGAACTGGGACGGCATGAAGCCGGGGCATGGCAGCTTGCTCAGCCTTGGCACTAGGGACGTTGGGGGCCAAATGATGCTCTGTTTTCTGGTGGGGGTGGGGGGATTTGCTGTGCGTGGTAGGCTGCTTAGCAGTATCTCTGGTCTCTACCTTCTATGTGCCAGCAATGCCCCTCCCCACCCTTCACCCTAGTTGTCACAACCAAAAATGTCTCCAGACATTGCCATATGTCCCGGGAGGCACAAACATCCCCCGATAAAAACCACTGCTCGAGACTTTAGGTTCCTAATAAAGAAACCAGAGTAAATAGAAATGTTCTTCACCTTCCAAGTACAAAGGTTAATGAGTCAATTTGTAACTCTCTTTGCCACCCGAAAAAAAAAAAAAAAGGAAAGACAAAAAGACAAAAAAAGGAAAAAGGAAAAAGTATCTGACCCATCAGTGTAATAAATACGCCTGGGAAGGGGTGGGTATTTCCCCGTCCTATGCCTATTTCCTGGTGCATCTGCACTTCCCTACCCCGGTGGGGAAAGAGTCCCCCCAAACCAAGCACTCTCCCCCTTCAGCCTGGGTGTTCTAAAAAAGACCTGATTAATCCAACAAGGAAAAAAAAAAAAGAAAGTTTCCCTTTAGGAGAAGCCAAAAATGTGGTTCAAACAAATCCAAGGTCACTGGCTCTTGGGAGTCGGCTACAGCGGATCAAGAGTAGACCCTGATGCCAAGCTGTATCACTGGGGGGGGTGCCCCAAGAGAGCTGGAGAGAGAAGGGCCTGCCCAGTCTGAGTTCAGACCCACAGGCCGAGGACTTGTGTGTGAGGCCATGTGGCTGGACTGGGAAAATGACCACACGGCAGTGCGAGGGTGGCGGATGGCATTTTCATTGCCAAATTAAGTGCTGACGTGGCCAAAGGAAAAAAGAAAAGGGGAAAAAAAAAAGGAACTGGCAGCATTCTGTGGTTCTGCATCAACTGCTTCGGATCTGCTGGCAGTAGCGGAGGAAGGGAAGAGAAAAAAACCATCTGTGGTCAACAGAGTTTAAGGACGTTCCCTGTGCACCTGGACAGAAAGGAGAGAGACCGCATTCTGGGAAAAAGATTTAGTTGAATGCACATGTGTCACTTGAGAAAGCACACGGGGTCATTTTCACCCAACTGAAGCAAGTCTGTAAGATACAGTGCTCCTGAGGTTGCCCCACCCAGCGTGTGATCTTGGCTTGACCATCAGAAGGTGCCGGCTCTGCAGCACGAGGGAAGCAGGCTAGACTTAAGGCAGAACTTGCCAACCACGAGAGCACGGACATGCAGGAACTCATTCTGATCAGGAATGAAAAGCTGAAGGAACTTCTTGCCTCATACAGGTAAAAGGAAATGCTTCGCTTTTAAAACCACTGGGGTTCATAGCAGCACAATTTAACCAGCCACAACATGGAAACAACTTGGAACGATCACCAACCAATGAACGAACAGACAAAATGTGGCGTGGTATTCCCCAGCAACGAAAGGACATGAAGCACAGACACATGCTACCTCACGGGTGAGCCACGAAAACCTCACATGGAGGGAAGGAAGCCAGGCACGGAGTACCACACAGTCTAGAATTCCATTCATGTGCAATGTCCAGAACAGACAAATCCAGAGGCAGAAAGATGCGTGGGTGCCTAGGACTCGGGGCGCCAGCAGAAAATGCACAGGGATTGCTAACAGGCTACGAGGTTTTCTGGAGGGGCAACGAGAACGTTCTGAAGGTGATTCTGATGACGGCACAACTCGGAACATACCAAAAATCACTGGACTGTAACACTTTAAATGGGTGAACCATATGCTATGTGAATTCTATCTCAATAAAGCACTTACTACAAACCACTAGGACCCCCGCAGCAAACCAGAGCAGAGGAATGAATGAACCCCCCACCCCCACCCCGGGCAGACACAGAGGCAACTGAAGGAAGGAGCAGAGGACTGAAGCTTAGAGGCCAGACTTGAGGGCCTGACCTGACCAGCAGCCACCGTGTGTCGTTGGATAAGCTGCTCCCCCTCTCTGACATTCAGGGCTTCCCACTGCATGGAGACCAAAACCCAAACTCCTCACCCTGAAGACCCATCTCCCACCACTGTCCCTTGCCCACCGTGGTCTGGCCACACTGGCCTCCTTTTCATTCCTTCCACAAACTGACCTCACACCAGGCCTAAGGCCTGTGCACCTGCTGTTCCCTGGGTCAGAACACTGTTCCCAGCATCAGAACACTGTTCTCCAGATCTTCTCCTTGCTGGCTCCTTTCCAGGCCACTGTCACCTCCTCAGAAAGGGCTTCTCTGACCACCCCTAGGTGGCCTCGTGTCACCCCCATCACTCCCCAGCTCATCATCTGCGGTTTCTTCTTTTTAGTGCTTAATGCTCCATGAAACTATTTCTTTCTTGATTTGTTTTTGCCCTTCTCTCCTACCAGATTCTAAACTCCACAAGGGTAGGGATTTGTCTAGCTGTCATTCACTTCTGTCTCCAAAACTATTATGGGCTGAGTTGTACTCCCGTCCCAAATTCGTATGTTGAAGTTTGAAGTCCCCAGTCCCTCAGAATGTGATCCTATTTGGAGACAGGTTACTTGCAGGTGCAATTAGTTAAAAGGAGGTCATCGGGGGGCCCCTAATCCCACATAACTGGTGTCATTAGAAAAAGGGGAAACTCAGAGACAGACACACACACAGGGAACACTGTGTGAAAATGAAGGCAGATATTGGGGTGATGCTTCTACGGGCCAACAAAAGCCAGAGACTGCTACCAGGTCAGCAGAAGCCAGGGGAGGGGCATGGAACAGACCCTCCCTCAGAGCCTCAGAAAGAACCCATCCTGCCAACACCCTGGTCTTGGGTTTCCAGCCTCCAGGACTGTGGGAGATTACATTTCTGTTGTGTGAGACACCCAGTCTGGGCTACGTTGTCACAGCAGTCTTAGGGAAGTAACACAAGCATTTAACACACAGTAGATGCTCAATAAATTCTGCTGAACGACCACAATAATGAACAGTAAATGGCTCTTTCTTAGGGACCAGCGCCATTCACAGAGACGGGAACCTGGCTGTCCCTGGCAGAGAAGGGACAAGCTTCCCTAAGCCTCAGCTTCCTCACCAGGGAACTGGCAATTCTACTCCTTGAGTTGTTGGAAGGAGTCAACAAAGTAACTCCTGCAAAGTAACTCCCTGGTTAGCCTTCAGCAAGCACTGGCTGTGTCTTAGCTTCCCATCACAGATACTTCCAGAATACCTGCACCCCTGCGAATGGCCAGCCCTGCCCCTGTGGACAGTCTGAGACCTGCCTGGGGACAGAGTACGAAAGGAACATGCCCCAGAGGCTCGGGGAGTCTGTCATTAGCTCCGGGAGGCAGGAGATCAGGGCAGGACTGGTGACCTCTCTCAGCAACAGCTGAAGGCAAAGTAGAAAAGGTGTCAGATGACCTCTTCCCTCTCTGTGGGGTCAAAGCTCCAAGAAGGGGAGCAGAGGAGCCTGCAAGACTCCAGTCTGACTGATGAAAACACAGGGCAGCCTGAAGGTTGCAAACAAATCCCCTGAATTTTAAGCCAACAGAAGAGAAAAGATTCTTAAAAGTCTCGCCACAGAAGCCTTCACGTAAGGACAGGGTGAAGCCCCAGCTTTCGGAGCCCTAGCCTGGGAGAACACGCCAGGTGCGGTGGCTGGGGAGCGGGCAGGTCTGCAGGGACCTGGCAGGTGCCAAGTGCACGGGGATAAACGATGGGCACTCCTCCCAGGGAAGTAATGACAGCAGTTGTCAGGTACGGAACATTCTGTGCCAGGCACCATGCCCAAGGCTCTATGGAATTGAGCACATTAAATCTCCACCAAACACCCGAAGGTTGTCCTGCTTTATCAGTGAGGAAACTGAGGCTCAGAAGGGTTTGGACGACCCTGGTAAGAGGAGCAATGGGACTCAAACCCAGTTCTCGCCAACTGCCAGCCTGCACGCTCAGCCACCATGCGTCCCACCCCCCGACCCCAGCATCTGTTCTGGACTACGCCACGTATGTCACCGCTTCCCACAGCCTCCTGAGAGCCAGAGGACTATAATGATCACTGTCCCCATTTCTGCCACGAGAGCGCTGAAGCCCGGCAGGCCCAAAGCCACCTCGCAGCAAAGGATGAAGACCTGGGCCCAGGTCCGCCGCCCCAGCCGTAAAGCACTGGGACCCCCTCTCAAGTCAGCCCTGAGAGCCTTCCGGTGATCCTTCCACAGGGTTCCTGAAGGGGCTGGCCCAGCGCTGATGAGGGGCGCTGGGGGAACCTCCAGGAGGCTGCGGGGCTGGGCCCTACCGTCGTCCTGCTCGGCCCGCTCCTGCTCGGTGCTGGCATACGTGCGCAGGAACTCGGCGAAGGCGCCGTCCCGGGCTAGCAGCTCCTGGTAGGAGCCCATCTCCGAGATCTTGCCGCCGGTCATGACGATGATGACATCCACCTGGGGCAGGTAGCTGATGCTGTGTGTGACCAGGAGCCGCGTCTGCGGGCAGAGCGGGGACCGGCGGGTCAGCGCTTGGGCGCGACAGGCATGCCCCGACGCCCCGCTGGCCGAGCTCAAGCCTGAGCGCCTGGGGCGCTCCTGGTCTGTGGGTGCCTTCATTCAACCCATGCCTGCCAGGAGCTGGGGGGGCAGTGGGCAGGGAAACGGGTCCCCGCCTCACACTCCTCGGTCAGGCGGGGAGAAAGGATGGACAGAAGGACAACAAAGTGCGTGCTGGCTGTTGCACGAAGCAAAGGGGACGGGCTGAGGGTGGGGGCTGCAATTCTAACAAGGGTGATGGGGAAGCTGATTTGTGAACAACAATTTGAAGGATGAGGGGGAGGCACTGTGGATGAATAAAAGAACGAACCCGATACAAAACAATTCACATGCAATGGCTTCATTTTTTAAAGTAACCCCCCCCATAAAAAACCACTACAAAATTTGTACATGTGTATATATTTTATACAAATTAAGTCAAAGTTGGGAAGGACGCTCAGCAAACTGCATGAGGCGACCAGCTTTTCCTTAAAGGGCCAAATGGTAAATACGTTCGGCTTTCTGGAGCCTCCGGTCGCTATGGCAACGATCAGACTATGTTTCCACAGCGGGAAGGTGGCCGTACACAAGACGGAAAAAGATGATCTGGCCGGGTCCTAGCAAAGCTTTACGCAGGAGCTCCGGCATTTCAATTCAATGCCATTTTCATTTTCATAGGTCTCAAAATACTATTTTTCTTCAGATTTTTTCCCCAACCACCGAAAAACGTGAAGACCTTTCTTAGCTCAAGGGTGGTCCAAAAACAGGCAGCAAGCCAGACTGCTGACCTCTGCTCTTGAGACAAGAACCAGAGGGGAGGAGAAGGGAGGGCCTTTTTTTTTTTTCTTCGCTTTCCATATACTCTTATACCCTTTGATTTGGTTACCACGGGCATGTGTCATTCTGGTAACAAAAATTTCTTTAAAAAGTACGTTTATACAGAATTTCTGGGTGTGTATGGGAATGCTTACGACAAGTTAAGTATCACGGTGCCTACTACATATATATATGTGCACGATGTGCTGAGCCTATTAAAAAACCTTCTACGGCTTGAAAGAAAGAAAATCTCTATGAAGTGGGACTAGGCACAACTGCTTATGTGTTTTTCTTTCTCGTATTTTTCTGAATCTCCTGTTTTCCCCACGGGCATATGTGTTACTTCTTTCTCCAGAAGAAAAAAAAAAGAACCAGTGCTCTCTTCCCAACCACCCTGTAATTCCCCTAAAAATAATCATCATCTTCAAGAGGGGAAGACCCATTTCCTGTCACGTTACGGTGGTAAGGCAGGCTTCCTGCTCCTAATCTCTGTCCCTCAGCCCACGGCCACCTCAGCAGTGAAGCAGGGGCTGCCTATTCAGTCAGAGGGGATGGGATTTCCCTCTGCGAGGCCACCCCTGTAATTAAATCAGGAAGAGGGGCCTCCGTTGGCCAGACAAGGATTGCAAGCCAGTGTCAACGACTTCCCGCTATAAGGACAAGAGCAAGAAGCCTGTCCTGGGAAGGTATCCAAGGGAAGCATTAGAAATGTGTTAAGTCCAATTTTAAAAAAAACCTAATTCTGGAAAGTGGGAAGTGAAGGATTCCCCCAGGGGACACATTCTGACTTAAGTAGAGATGCCAGATGGCCACACCCCCGAGCCCTGCCCCTTTAGCAGGTACCTTGCTCCTCAGCATCCCCTTGGGGCCAATGACATTTTCAAATATGTGTTTTCCCACGTGGGCATCCACTGCCGACAGGGGGTCATCGAAGAGGTAGATGTCGGAGTCACAGTACACGGCCCGGGCCAGGCTCACTCGCTGCTTCTGGCCCCCAGACAGGTTCACGCCCTGGGGAGAGACAGAGCAGAAGGGTGGGTTTCCCAGGGAGCCTTGCGACCTGCGGACAAGGAACCCCGCTCAGGATGCAGCAGACCCAGGCTGGCGGCCCTGCGGCGCCACACCGCCTCCTCTCGTTGGAGCAGGACGCAAAGGCGTGAGATGGTATCGGCGTGAACTGGGTGCGAGGCCCGCCAGGGGGTCTAGCCTCTGTGAGCTGCTGAGCGGGCACCCAGCGCAGAGTGGCGATTCAGCAAAGGCTGGCTGGGGGCAGCAAATGACGGGGGGCCACAAGGAAGGCACCTGCAGATGCGGTAATGATCCTATCCTGGCTGCCGCCCTTAGAGTTGTTAACAGCTGACATTCTTGTGAGCTTGCTCTGATCTATCACTCACTGCGAAGCCACACAGAGCCGCGGCAGGCTGTACTCTGGGGGTGCTGAAGTCCAGTCCCACTCACCAGGAGGAAGGGCACTGATTTCTAATTTACACGGGAGCACTCCACGGAGCACACAGCAGCAGTCCCAGCCCTCCATCCGGCAACAGATGACCGAACGTCATTTCCATATGTGGCTGGGGAATCAAAGGGGACCCCCCACCTGTTAACTGCCCAGTCTCTCCCGAGAGATGCCCGCCCTCCCTAGGCACCGAGCTGCGGTCCTGGGAGCCAGGGTTCTTCTGGATGGCCCCTCTGGCCACAGCACTTTGGCCCAGGGGCAGACACCAGACCCAATCATAGTCTCTCGCTCTAGATTTTGGTACTGGGACCTAGAAAAGGAGAATCAGGAGTCTCCCAAGGGGCAGAAGCAGACACCTGGGTTAAAACAACAACTAGCCCAGGCTCCTCTGCTAACTGCAAATCCAAAGAGCCCTGCTAACAGTTGTTTTTTCCTTCCAAGGAGCTGTAGGTTTCCCTCAAATAAATCGTTCAGCAACTAAGGAAGCTGGGGGAGCCACTGGCTTGTAACTTAAGAGACAGGGAAGCTCCTTGGTGCTGCTGTGGAACATCTGTACTCCCCAAACGCACACCAGATAATGACCAGGGATGCTGGAACAGGCTGGCCGGGCAGTGGAAAAGCACATGCAAAGACCCTGAGGTGGGAAGAGGCTCGGGCAAGTCACTCAGCCCCTCTATGTCTCTTCCTCCTTAACCACGAAATGGAAATAACAGTAAATCCCATCTCATGGCCTTGCTGTAGGATGCATATAAAATGTTTATCACAGGGCCTGGCACAAAGTCAATGCTGAACAACGTGAGCTACTGTATCATTACTTTTACTACTATCCTTATTTTGAAAGGGACTGTGGCCGGGCGCCTGGGTGGCTCAGTTGGTTAAGCGACTGCCTTTGGTTCAGGTCATGATCCTGGAGTCCCTGGATCGAGTCCCGCATCGGGCTCCCTGCT